AAAAAAAAAATTATGCTTTGCAGTCAATCAGCAGTCAAAGAAAAATTATAACGGGGAAATTGTTGAACGGAAATTGGAAAACTGAAGTGCAAGTACTTGTTGGAAAGCAATCAGTTATTTCGCCTCGATGATCGTCTGTTGATGATTAAACAACCGCAAAAAAATTCAATATTGATGAACCCAAGTGTTGCAGAAAAATCCCGGGATTTGAATTTAAAAAAAAAGCCGGGAAAAATAGAGACGAGAAAAAAGACTCCGCCAAATAACCAGAAACTTTTCAAAATTACAGAAACATCCTCTGATGGCTTGAACATTATTCAACGAGTTTTTGACAAACAATTTCACGGTTCGCCACAATGAAATTCATTTTTCAAAGAATATTATAACTACTGTACCAAGTTCAAAAGATAAATTCGCAAGTTTTCTCAAGTTTGCACCTAGACAAGGCAATTTTCCATCTTCGCTCTGTAGAAAAACTTCAAAATTAGGGCTAAAAATGCGTCCAAAAATGGAAGGATTTTTATCAATCATTTGAATTCGGTAACAAATTTCTACGACCACAATTTCACGCTGAAAAACAGTAAATCAAGACTCAAAATTTGCACTTTAAAGACTTAATTTCCAATTCTTAGCCCAAGAATAAATTTTTATATCTATCCCTAGAAAGATGTGACAGTAAGTGAATCATGTCATCAATCATTTGAATAAGGCTGCACATTTCTTTGACTATAATCCCTGTCGTGGATATTGGATAGCAAGGCGCACCCTGATTATTCAAGTGTCTAAACCTAAAAAAAAAAGAATATTTTATTTTATTGAATACGGCATTGATTCGCTTGAGTGTTACCAAAAACAACAAAATAATCAAGTGCCACAAAATTGACCTGAAAAAAGATGCAATTAAATTTTATACAATAATGCAGTCAAACCTCTCCAAGATTTACAATATTTCTAGAGAACAGCAAAAAAAAATTACTCAGACAGGTTTTGAGTTATAGGGAGAGATTTAAATGTTTTAAATTTAGGCAAACAAGCATTTTTGTTGTGGTAACATGGAAGAATTGCGGGAAATTGTAAATTGTGATTTCCTGGACCTTACAGATCCACTTTATTTATTTTTATTTATTTTTTATTCTTATGTTAAGGGATCATTTTCAGAAAATAAACAGGAGTACCCAGTGAAAACTGGTTTTACCCCAACAAGCTCCATGGGGAACCTTTCATTCCTTGCCTTTAGGGGACATGAACTGTCTGGATGAAGCATGATGAACTATAAAAAAAAACCAACAAGTTCAATACCCTTTTCTAAGATAAAATTGTCTAAAAGATTTTTAATTTAAGCTAGTTTAGGAGGATTAAGGTTTGAGATGTTTCCTCTTTTGCTGCATATGCTTCTTGGATGCAATGTCAGAGAAAAAAAAATAAGTCATGAAATAACTTCTTGATGTCCTCAAAAAAAAACAAAATAAAAAACAAGGGATAAAAGTTGGAAATACAGTCACCAGTTTGAGGGGAGTATTTGCGCCACCATGAGGAATCATCACCGGAAATTTAATGCCTGAATCTTTCATTTTCCTCCTTGACAGAAATTACAGAACCCGACTCTGTTAACCCCATAACAACAACAACAACAGCCTAGAGTAAAAAAAAAAAAACACTTTTTTTTAAATATACAAATCAAGAGAAACAGGAGACGAGCTTTCAACCTGCTTCAAGCACAAACACGATCCTCTTTGCACACATCAGTGCCACAAAATGAAAAAAAAAAAAAAAATTAAAAATTGATAAAAAAAAAAATAAAAAAAAGAAATAATCATTAGCATTCGGCCGGAAGGTAGGATGGGCCCAATATACACACAGCGAGGAGAAGGAGACAGCAAGACACCTCGGCACCGGCGCGTATGCAAATGAGGCAAAATCCTTTTTCCAAATTAAATATTCATGGCCAGTCGTCCGCGCCGGACGCGTCTTCCTGACCTCCACCGAATCCTCCCTCATAAATTACTGCCGAAGCAATAAAATAAATCCTCATTCCGCGCGCAAACAAGAATAATGCATCATTACCGTGCTGGCCGAAGCGAAACACCCAGAGATGAAAAAAAAAATCAAACAAATATATATATACAGTATATATCTCCAATTTTAATAAATTCTAATAAAGAAAAAAATATAATTTTCATCTCACAGGTATTCATTTCTATAATAACTTTAACCCCTGGAAATATTATAAAAAATTGCACCCACAAGTAAATTCAATATTCATTTCTATGTTGTTGAAAATAAACGAATACATAAAAACACACAGAATTAATACACATATTTTATTTTATTTATTCCTCCATTTTCAACAACACAGAAATAATTACTGCATTTACGTGAGGGTGCAATTTTTAAAATATTATTTCTGGGGGTTGAAGATATCATAAAAATTCATATTTTTGAGATGAAAATTACTATTTTCCTTCATTAGAATTTATAAAAATTGAGAATACTGAATTAATATTATTTTTAATAAAAATAAAAACTGCTGGTAAATTATTCATAAAAAGAGCAAGTTTTTTTTCTGGTACATTAATTCGAATATAATTAATTTTTCATTGAGTCCATTGAACAAAAAAAAACATTTCTTATTCAAACATATAAACCATTTTCTAAAAGGATCAAGTATCATACCCACCAAAACTATTGAAATTAGAAAAAAATGTATATTCCCACTTTATGACGCACACCCTCTTTTTTTCCACCCGATTTTGACAAAAGATGCGCGTGGTTTTCAAGTAAATACGCTTTTATTTTTCTGCAAAACAGAATATTAATAAGAGATAGAATAAATAATGCAAATCCCTCACCTGCAGTTCCTCGGTTGCACGGCGAATGCTGGTCCTTTCGTCTGCACATGTCCAATCTACAGAGGAAAAAAAAAACAAGAAAAAAGCTCATTAATGAATAAAGCATCTATTAAACATCCACGATCATCAGCAGAATATAAATCCATTATTGAATCTATCGTCGCTTTTGGAAGAAATAGCGGCAAGAACTCTGGAGTCGTAAGTCAATATAAAACAAGAAACGGGAGACTCAAAAAATAAATAAAGAAGATTCCCAACATTTTATCAAATTCAACGGCTTCATCCAGAAAAATTACTTATAAAATAATCCCCGTTTTAAATTTCAGAACGTGAAATCAAAAACGTCAGCCGATTTTATTTTATTTTAGTTATTAATTCGTAGGCCGCATTATTGAAGAAGCAGGCGGCCTAAAAATGAAAAAACCGCTGCAGATTCCGAAAGATTTTTCAAACAAAAATTCACAACACTTGAGGTGGAAAAAAATAAACAGTGTGAAATTTGCTTGAGAACCCGTCTCGCAAAAATACGCTTTCCGCTTTTAATTTTTTCAAACAGAAAACTTCACATGTTTTTTTCATTCCGAAATCCAAAAAAAAAAAAAATTGCGCTACTATTATGCTGTTAAAAAAAATTAGCGAACATCAGGATAATTTTTTTTTTAGAGTAATGTTGCATAAGTTTTTCGTCAAGAAATTATCGTACAATAAAATACAAAAAAAAAATCATGGAGTTGGAAGAATTTAGTTTTTCCTTTCCCGTCTCCTCACGAACCCCTAACAAAACATTTAAAAAATCGGTGATGCACAATCCAAAGTTTTCTGAGATTTCAAAAGCTAATGCTTTTTCCATTTTCATTCGTTTTCTCATTTTTTTCAGTAAATTTATTAAATGGAATCATTTGACAATATTTAAAAAAATGCTTGAGTCAGAAGAATTTACTTTTTTTATTCCCGTCTCATATTTGCAAACCCTCAGCAAAATACAAAAAGTAAATAGATTATGCTCAATCAAAAGTTTCCTGGGATTTCAAAAGCTAATCCATCTTCCATTTTCATTCGTTTTCTCACTTTTTCCGAGTAAATGTATTGAATTCAAACATTTGAGAATAAATATAAACTAATCTTGCAATTTTTAAAAATTTTGTAGTCAGAAGAATTTAGTTTTTTCTTTCCCGCTTCTTTGCCAACCCTCAGCAAAATTATAAAAAAAAGAAAATCGGTGATATGCTCAATCCAAAGTTTTCTTTGATTTCAAAAGCGAATTCTTCTACCATTTTCATTCGTTTTCTCAATTTTTCCCCAGTTAATACATTAAATGCAATCATTTGAGAGTGAAAAAAATAGCTTGCAATTTTGTAAAAATTTTTGAGTCGGTAGAAATCAGTTTTTCTTTCATGTCTCCTCGCGAACCCTTAGCAAAATCAAATAGAAAATATTCTGCGATGCTCAATCAATATTTCCTGGGATTTCAAAACCTTCTTCTTCTTCCATTTTCATCCATTTTCTCATAATATTATTCGGTGAATATACTAAATGCAATCATTCGACCCTGAACTCGCAGGCGTCATCATCAGCTGATTGCTCAATAAGCTCTTCCCACCCCTCCCACAACACAATCCACGCCAAAAACAGCAATGTGTGCTTTGTGGGATTAAGAAGAAGAAGAGTACAGAAGGAGGAAGAAAAGGAAGAAATGTGGTGATTAGATTAATAAATAATAATAATAAAAAATAAAAAAGTAAACTATATGCACATGGGAGTGAAATGAGATGACGAACCTGGTGATGACGACAGCGATGTCATAAGTCGGCAAGCGTCGTTCGACAAACAAATACTTGCCCATCTCCGTCAGGGCGTCCGCAGAGTCGATGGCGTCCCGGCCCACTTTGCTGCTCTCCAAGTACGGGGTTGCGTCGCGACCCTGGTTCCAGGAAAGAAACGGAATACAAAATCAAATACAGTGAGACCCCGAGATGCGGACGTAATTGGTGCATCAAGAGTGTCCCCAAGTCAAAATGTCTCCCAGTTGAGTCTCATTTTCCCTTGGACTTACATTATATAATTTTTAATTGGTGTTTCATGTACAAAATACTCGCCATAATTCCATGAAAATAAAAATTGTCTCGACTATTTAAACTGATTCAATCAATATTATTTCAACACAAGATGGACATTTGGGGAATTGAATACTGATACCTCTGTACAGTACATATAAATGTTTGCATTCTCTGTAAAAATAGCATTCAAGTGAAAAAGAAAGAAGGAAGTCCCACTATGCTGGAGGTAATTTTTTTAAATTAGCTAAATGTATGGTAAATTGGCGAGAGAAATGCCCAAGAATGTTCTTGCATCATTAATAGGGTTGGAAATATCTGTTTGGTGTAATTTGGCCTGAAATGTATTTGCAATTTTATCACAAAATGTCCCTATGTTGAGTCAGTGTCCTCACGTTGGGCCTTTCTTATTAATTTTTTTATGGGAAAATAAGTGTCCCTATATGTTGAATTGTCTGCAGGTCAAGGTGTCTGCATGTGGGGGTCTCATTGTAAAATGTATATGATGACATTACAAGTTTTAAAAAAAGAGAAAACAAGCGCTTCTTTCCTAAGGCACAGATGTCGCCAGGAACAATAACTTCTTGCCCAAATTTCATGCTAAACCTTCCACCAGAAAATGTTCCAGGTTGGAATTCTCCCTGATTGCACAATGAACTCTTCCCTCCATCTTCAATGCAAATAATTCTTCAGTCTCTCAAAATTCCTCGCACGGCATTCACTTTGTTTTGAGCCTCATTTTCATCTGTGTGATTCAAAATTCTGTCTGCTTCAACTTGAAATAGAATCGTCTTGTCTTTGGAGTCCTTACCAAAGGGCTCCCTGCTGTTGGACATTGAATTGGTTTGCAGATTTGTTTTGACTTGAATTTTTTTTCAATGATTTGAAATGAAATTTAGACAACAATCAGCCAGGCTGTGGCCAGGGTGCTTAACACCCTAGTGTAAGGTTGATGTATTTTTGGGTATTTTGATAGGTTGTTTGACAACAGCAGTTTTTGCAAGCAGTCTTTTGCGCAAGACAACACAGAAGCAACTGATGATTCAATACAAAGATGATTTGCTATTTATGCAATTTCCTTTCTATGAAAATTTTGTCCCTGAATGTATTATCCTTCTAAAAGGATTTCCCCAAGAATTCAGAATCTTGTGGGAACCCAAGGTTGCGCTTGGTCCCATCAAATCCCCAACTTTCCCAAAGTTCCGCCATTTTCCTGGCACCACTCTGATCCTGTAATTTTTAGCTCTAATGCTTATTTCAATTTTCAACACCTGCCATGTTCCCCAGCAGATCAAGTGTTTAATTCATCCAAAATTCTGTTTTTATTTTTCTTTGTGGCCTGTGCACCACATCTTTTGTGTAAAAAAACAAAAGTGAAGTCTACAGAAGAGCCTAGATTTATCCAGGGGCCTAAATTTCGATTTGTTTGCATAAGCGCATTAATTTGGCAGACTAACATTTGCAAAAAAATGTTTTTTGAGGCCTTGAAAAAAAAATCTGCTACATCGGTGTTTCATAATAACCAATCAGCTCGAAGTCAGAAATTTGACTTTATCTTTTGACACATTCGAACTTTCACGGGATTTTCATACTTCAAATTGGAAAAAATATACTTCTTACAAAAAATCTTGCCAATTTAATCAAGCGCAAAATATCAACAGCAAAATATTCAACTCACGCATCCCCAATAAAACAATATTCACTACTCGAATCTAAGTTCACCTAAATGTCAGGCACGGTTATTTGAAAGAAATTCCATTCCATTTTTACAGCATTCATAAAATAGGGATTGCATTTAAAGTCTCGACTGAAAAAAATACATAAAGAAACATCTGACTCGCGCAAATTGTCAAGATTTCCAAGGCACTTCCCCACAATGAAATGCATAGAAGAGAACAAAACATTTTTATGATTTCATGTATTCGGATTCTAATGAAGACTGCTTCGACCTCGCAACCATTCTATTAATCACATTTTATCGCTTCAAGAAAGCTCTCGAGATTGCGGAAAAATTCTCCATAAATGCAAATTAGCATTGACAGAGAAATCCAGACATAACTCTTTCATAATCCCGGCAAAAATCAACAAATAAAAACCAAAAAACAGCTCACAAATACTGTACGATGGATGGCTCAAAATACTTGGAAATTTTGCAGTACAGTACTTGGAAATTGTATCCGAATTTTGGAGTACGAATCCCTCCAATCATTTTCCAATCAACGAAAAAAAAACCTCATTTCAATTACATCTATTTTGACAATTTAATGGTCAAGAAGATATTCAAGGGAAAACCTTCTCATTCGTTGGGGAATCGCACTGTTATGCCATTAATCAAAATCCAGTTATTTAGTAGATTTCTATAGGAAACTAGGAAAAATTGATGAAGGATTTTAATAGCCTTGTCTCCATTAGAAAAGTACTTGTGGAGGTCTCTTGAGAAATTACATAACGTTACAGGTTTTAGAATGATGATAAATTTATCAGCCTGTCTTTTTAATTACTCTGGAAGCAAATACTCATGTGTGTTTGTTTGGTGAGCATGCTGAGCTGCCCAATGCAAAATGATGTTTTCTATTCATTGTTTATCAATCTGCCAGTAAATTTTGCTCAAAACTATTCTGCATCACCAGCATACAACTTTTAATGATGCGGAAACTTTTCAGTAAAACATGAATGTAATATTTTGGTACATCCAACATTTTAAACATTATTTTGAACATTTATTGGCACTATAATTGTGTTGAGCAATTGCCCTAAAAATCTGGGAATCAGAAATGAAATTTAACTCCCTCCTAAAAGAAAAAAAGGTTCCTTCATTGATAAGTTCACTTGAGTTGATTATCATTAGACACAAACACAAATATTTAAAAAAATATTCATTGGTTATTATTAAACACGTTGTAAGACAGAGTTTGCTGAATTGAATTGATTGATGCTTAAAATGTATCAATCAGCATCATTTTCACTTCTTTCATGTTCTTATTTTATGTTTTAAATGCTATGAAGCAGCCAGTAAGTTGGTGTAACACATTGCAGTGACAGATCAGTAAACTAAAAAATGAAAGACATCAGTTGCAAATTTGCAATCAACAACTCTGTGTTTTCACC